GACATCATAGAACTATAATATTCTAATTATTAAAAAATAAAAATTTTCAGTCAAGAAAATATCTTCCTTCAGAGGTTGAAGGGATAAAAACATTTTTTTTCCGGTCGAGTTGGATAAAAAAACTTCTCGGGTTATAGAGACAATTCTTTAGATTCTTCAACTCCAATGAAATTGAAATAAAAATAACAAAGTTTGTTTTCCTACTCTGATGAGTGACATCTACTGTCCATCCAATAAATGGATAGCCAACGTCGTCTCTCACCAATGTCATTGTACATAACCGAAGCTTATCACCCGTGACTGTACGCAACCATACAAATGCCACGAACATCCAATGTTCCTAAAATCAAACCGGAACGGTTAACCGGTCATGATGTTGGGAGCGGTTCGAATTGAAACGGAACTAATCAGAGCAGTTAACCGGATTAATTAGTCAAGTAGATTTTTTTTTTTTAAAAAAAAGAGTCAAAATCCTCAAAAAAAAATTATAATTAAAAAAGAAAAACTTAGATTAAGTATACACCATCATATTACATTGCATTTATCTTAAAAAAAATTTAAAACGACTCTTTATTTAATTTAATATTTGAATATTATGAAATTATACAAAACAATTTATAATTTTACATAAATTCAATCGGTGAAGTTACAAGGTCCAACTAACAATGGATGATGCAACAATATATGCTTCTATATTGTTTTCATGTTGATGTTGAAAAATTTTGTTTTAATGTTGAAAAACTCTTTAATAAGGTTTAGAATTGGGTTTGAGAGCGTATTTTTTTGTAGCATGATGTTCCCAATTTTTCGAAGGGTTGTGAGTCAAGGAAGTAAGAGAGATCATCTCATTTACTTAGTAACTTGTTTGTCAAATGCAATGTCTCGGTCAAGGTGTTAAGAGCTGCTTCAAATGGTCAAATAACATATTTTAAAAAAATATGGCCAAGTCGATTTTCAAACGGCCAAATCGATTTTGAAATGGCCAAACCTCTCGTTTACTCACTAAACTTTTGAGTCGGGTTTTAACATGAATATATATATATATATATATATATATATATAAGATGACAACTTTAAAATGTAAAATTAAGATGTATATTTTTTTAAAAAAAAACAGGTTAAGTTTTTATCCATTTTAGCATGTGGAAACATGAGAGATGAGTAAAACACTTTTTAGTTCTACCTCTTTTTTTCATAGAGGGTAATAAACAGATTTAAGGAGTGTGAAGTTGCAATAAATGATGGATAGCTTGTAAAAAATAAAAAAACAAATTAGAAGAACATGTCACAACTAAACAAGAAGTTGAGAACACAGACACCAGTAACATACATAAAAAATAACCTTAAAAAGAAATAATTTTTTTCTCATATTCATCACAAAAAAATATTTTTATAAAAAAAGAATATAACATTAAAAACAATCCAACAAGTTCACCAAAAATATATAACATTAAAAAGAAGCAAATATTTTATTCTCATATTCATCACAAAAAAACAGATTTTTGTAAAAAAATATATAACATTAAAAACAATCCAACAAGCTCACCAAAAAAAAAATATTATTTTTTTCTCATATTCATCACAAATTACATATTTTAATAAAAACAAAAAGTAATTTTATTAAAAATATATATATTTTTTTTTAAGAACCCTAACATCGAGCCAAAGAACACAAAAACTTTAGAGTCGAAATCAACTCCAAATCTTTCATTTTTTTGAACAAATTGACATGGGGATATGGTAGATACTTCAATTAAGATTCAAATGCCCCAAATGTCGTGAAAATTTATTCACTATTGAGATCTTTATTAAAAAAATTACGGATTTTTCACTTCACGAAAATTTCAGGAAGAAAAGCAGCAAAAAAAATCAATATAAAAACATTTAATCAATATTAAATAAAAATAACTAGTTTATTTGATAGATAATGCCTTTATGGTCAAACTTAAGTGATCAATTCGATAAATATCGATCAACTGATCGATCAGAAATCAATTTGTTTGGATAAAAACAGTTCTTCGAGCAGCAGTACTTCAAGCCAAAAAAGCCCTCAAATCTTCATCATTTTGGAAAAATTGAAATATGTAAACGTTAAATCCTTCAAAAATCAATCAAAGCCCTCCATTTTTATGAAAATATATGAGGTATTAAATCTGCATTTGGTAGAATGACGAAAATTTATATTTTTTAAAAATCTCCATTTCAATCCGTTGAGAACTCTTTGTTTTTCGACTTTTGATTGAATAATCGATGATATATAGAAACTTTACGGTGTATAACATCAATATTTGACCGAAAAAAAAAAAAAACTACAAAATGGAAGAAAAAAAAAGCTACAAAATCTTGTTCTATTAAAAATAACGGGCATGTGTCAAATAACAGCCGGTATTTTATGTGTTAAAACAGTGTTATAACGGACGAAAACAATGGCAAACCGGACTGGTTAGAAAAACCGGCTGATTTTGAAGAAAAACCGTTGGTTCGACATTGAACCGGCCGGTTTTGGTCTCGATTTTTTTTGGAGAGTGTCGTCTTATCTGGTGTACCTTATAATCGGCCCTAACTTGAATCGCCACTCCTACCGGTAGCGATCTAACCGGCCGGTTCCGGTCTAACCAGCACAAACCTTGTCTAGGAATATCAGAATTTCATTGTGTGAGAAGGTAGATAGAAGGCAAAAAATAAAAAATAAAAGAGAGTAGATAATGCTAGAACAAATAGAGATAGAAGGCAAAAAATAAAAAATAAAAGAGAGTAGATAATGCTATAACAAATAGAGATAGAAGACAAAAAAATGAAGAGTACATAATGCTCTAACAAATAGAGATAGATGAAAAGAAAAAAAAAAAGGGGGTGGGGTCGTGGTGATAGCATCCTGTCTTAGTAGCAGCATTCCCACGCCAAGTTACTACATCATAGTATTCATTTTTACCCAATTAACACTTTAACCTTCAAAATGTAACTCCTCAATCTATTAAGAAAATAGGTAAGGGGTTAGTCTTCCCCACTGAAAATTACCCAAATAAATATATATATAGAGAGACGAGGGAGTGAGGCCCCCAATTAACACGTTAACCTTCGAAATGTAACTCTTCAAACCATTAAAAACACGGTAGGGGGGCATATCTTCCCCACTGAAAATTATCCAAAAAAAAAAGGAAGCGAAGAGAGTCTTTTTTATGTAAGGAAAAAAGTTTACACAAGGTTAAAGCCTTAAACAAACAAATTAAAACCCACCTCAAAAAATCATTAGAAGAGGTTTTTTCAAAGCTTAAAAATCCTCAAATCGTTTATCTCGATCTCAATATGTATGGACAGGAGAAAAAATAGATTTTAAGTTGTGGAACACAAGGGTGAGGCCCTAAACAATCTAATTAAGGCGCACCTTAAAAATTCATTAGAAGAGGTTGTTTTAAAGCTTAACTCAAATCATTTATGCCGATCTCAAGATGTATGGACATGTGAAAAAATAGATTTCAAGGCATGGAAATAGTGCATCTTATGATGCAAATTATGGACTATCAAATTTTAAGGTTTTCAAGTATTTATAGACCTACTTGATCTATGCTATTTTGAAGCTTTAAATTTTATAATTAGATATAAAAATAAAATTTCAAACCATCACAAAGATTTATAATATTGAAACAAATTTTGGCACTATTTGAAGGTGCCCTTTACTTTGATGCTTTAGGGCCTCATCCTTTATGTAAAAGAAAAAGTTTATATAAAGCCAAGGCTCTAAACAATCAAATTAGAGCCCACCAAATAAATTTCACTAGAAAAGGTTGTTTCGATGCCCAATCATCCTCAAATTGATCATCTCGACATCAAGATGCATAGACATGAGAAAAAAAATAGATTTGAAGTTTTGAAAATAGTGCATTTTGTCATGGATTTTTGGATCATCAATTTTCAAGATTTGCAAGTTTTCATAGATCTACTTGATCTACACTATTTTTTAAGTTTAAAATTTTATAATTAAAGATAAATATATATTTTAAGGCTAACACAAAAAAAAATCAGTATTGAAACGAGATTTCTCGACACTATTTAAAGAAGCACTACTTTGATTGTTCGGAGCCTTAGCTCTATAATAACCGCACCCTTATGTAAAAGGCCAAATGCGGCCATAGTTTTCTTAAGGTAACTCTCTCCAATATTTGTTTCGATCCCATGTGGGGTTTACAGGGTGGCCAAATGACTAATTTGCCCATGTGCTCAAGCTCAACATTTATGGACATTTAGATACTTTGATTTACAATACAAAATTTTTCAAGCAAATGTATTTATAGTAATTAGAGAAGTAGAATGGATATTTGGATAAGAAATTAATAGCATTTCATTAGTGCTTAAAAAACAATTAACACTCTATATGAGTGACATTATATATCATATCATTATCCACCATAGTTAATAAAGACTTTCATTTTATTAAGAAATATCAAAAAATGTTAGAACACATTAAATACATATTCCATATGTAGATGTAGGTAACAAAACCCAGGGTTTTGATACACTACCCAAATAGTATGAGGTTTTAAACAATCAAAGTAAAACACACCTCCAACTAGTATCGAGAAATGTGGTTTTAATATTGGAAATGAGATAGTCCTAAAATATATTTTCAGTTTAATATAAAATTTAAAGCTTTAAAAACAGAGTAGATCAAAGATATCTATGAAAACTTGAAAATTGATGGTAAAAAAAGGCTCTATAAGATGCACTACTTCCAAAAATTGAAATCCATTTTTTTCTCATATCTAGGCATCTTAAGGTAGAGATGATCAATTGAAGGATATTTGAACATCAAAACAAGATGTTCTAGTAAAATTTTTGAGGTAGGTTCCAACTTGATTGTTTAGGGCCTCGGCTCTATATAAAGGTTTCTTAATTTGGAAAAACTGCTCACTACGTGGTTTGGTTACTTGCCCCCATAAAAATCCGGTCGATTAAGACTTTATTTTGTCAGAACGAGGAAGCCTGCAACTTGGAGTTCGTACATGCACACGCGAATAAACCAAGGGAGGGAGGCATCCTTTCTGTATTATGTGGGGGCTCACTTCTTGTCGCAATGCCAGCACGAGGTGTGACGGCACGCTCCATTTTAGAACGTGGAAGTAAGCTTTCAGGCACGCAGATGCAAGACAGTGACTCAGGCCAAACGAAAGCGGTCCCCAATACTTTGGAGAGAGAGAGATGCTGTTTATGTTTAATGGGGATCGCATATTTAGGATAAGTCTGGATTGAGGTGGGAGGAGTAGTGAGGGGAATGATTTTTGGGGTTTCCAAGTGCTATTGAATTGTCGGGATTATAAGCCGGAGGAAGAGTGGTTTTTGTTACTGACACAAAGGTGATGGCAGTTCAGTTTCAGTTATCTGGAGCTTATATGGCTCCTCGGGTTCAGTTGTTGGGCCGGGGCTCATTGCCCAAAAGGTTCTCTCTCTCTCTCTTCATACTTTTTGCATCTTTCTCTTCTCTGGAAATCACGAAATTACTTCATCCCCACTGTATCTTGCTCTGTTTCTCGTATTGCTTCACTCTCGTCCTCTCTTATTCTCTCTTCTCCGTCACTGCTTAACGTTAAGCTTCCCTCTTTCCTCTTCTTCTCAATACTATAAGACCAATGAATTGTATATTTCTCTCTGATTGCGTCAAATCATTAGTCTAAGCATGTGTGTTCCTCTATCTCCATCTCCGTTCTCTTTATCTCCCCTTCTCTGTTTATGGTTATCCCTCCTCTCACTTTCAAATTCAACCCTCTGTATCTCTTTTACAATGTCGCTCCTCTCTCCCTCTCAATGGATCATACTCTCTCTCTCTCTCTCTCTCTCTCGCCCCTCCCCCT